AAATAAAATAACAAATAGTATAACCTAAAATTCTAAGTAACAAAATATAAATACCTATATGGAACAAAGGAATTTGTTCCCTATCCATATTCATAAGTCAATAAAATGGAGAGTTTAGAAAAAAAGGTAAATCACCAAAAGAAAAATTAACAAACATGACGAATTGTCATGATGTTGTCATCTTAGTTGTCATGATGACGAAAACGAAAGGCGATTGTTCTAATTTCTATTTAGAAATTACGTTTTATATGGCTGCTTCTTTCTCCCTTGTTATATTAGAATGAGATAGTAGGTCCAATAGACGCAATGCGCAGATCAACATAAATTGAACAAAATTTTGCGTTCTGACTTGCGCTACGGGAACGTTGTCCCTCTCTTTGCCATTGAATTTGCCAGTCTCTTTTTATTTGTTTGTCTATGCAAGAAACTGAACTCGATTGACAACAACCGTCAATTTATAAACAATAATAACCTGGCAACGAACAAAGTTCCTATACCAATACTGCGTTAATTCAAATATACCGGAAGATATATTAATGCAACATGTGTGTCTTTTTACAATGGGAAAAATATACTAAATTCAGTAAGAAACAAAATTATCTATGTGCCACGGGAATTACTTAGTAGTGCTGAAATGTAGTAGTGCAACTCTATGTTAATTTCTTTCCATGAAGTCGTATCAAAGTAATAATTCTTAATGAAATACTCAAGCTTTTTTTAAGAAATGAACGGCAACATTACAAAGGAATGTACATTTCTTATACCTATTTATAATTTAGTAGAAATTAACACCTTGTACAACACAGTCATTCTTCTTGTGCGTATCTTCAAAACGTGGCAACCATAAGTACTGGAACTACCTACATACGGCCTCAACCTAGACCGTTGGAGGATTCCCACTCCAGGTTACGGATGGAGTCTTTGCGGCTAGGTCCTTGAGTTCCGCTTTAAGTTTGTTTCTACTTTGGAAGCAGAACGGTTCTGGCCCATTTAGTGAAGGGTTCGCTCCTTTTTCTAGCTAGATCTTTTGCTTTTACTACCACCCACAGTAGGAAAACTTTATTTTCTTTGCCTAATTTGTTTACCTTCTTTATGCATCCTTTGTCCAACTTCGAATTGATGGATAATAAGATGATCGCTTTTAATGCTGCGTGACTATCGCATAAGATGGTTATTTCTACCTACAATCTATAACCAGTCAGATCAACCTTTAATCCGTATTGAACGCTTTCTTCAAAAGTCATAACCACACTTGACTAGAGATAACGATTTGGAAAAGAATCTGTCGTTCTCCAAACTGGTTTTGTTTGAAACTTGTTTGGAACAGGTGTAGTTCATATGCTATTCTGTTCCAGTTTCAGCTGTTGCGACCTAAATTAGAAGTTAATGGTGACGAGTGAAAGAAGTACTGGTTTGGCTATCTTATATGTGAGGCAACATACTATGCTACGAAGTTTTTTGGTCCTCTAAATTCTACCAAAGTTGTCATATTTTCAACGAGTGAAATTTAGCACAGGATAAGCAGCGCCTCAAGTGCATTCTGCAAATTATAAGACAGGGTTTTCTACAATCATGACTTGAGCACAAAAATGAAACTTGCAGTGTACTGAGCAATAATAGTCCCCATCATGTTATATGGAAGTGAAACCTAGGTGCCGTAGCGCCGACACATGAACCCATTATACAAGTTGCATAAAAGACACCTTAGACAACTCTTAAAAACCAAATGGTTCCACCATGTTTCAAACACATCGGTCCTTGAAAAAGTTAACTGCGAGAGTATTGAAGTCATGATTACAAAATCCCGCTTAAGATGAGCTGGTCACGTATGCAAGAAACCCGCATACCAAAATCTCTGCTTTACGGTGAGCTTGTAGAAGGTAAGAGGAGGCCAGGTGGACATCTCAAAAAGTAAAAGGATATTTTACACGAAAATTTAAAGGGGATTAACATGCAGAATGAGTGGGAAGAAGAAGCTCACAATAGAATGCAATGGAGAAGAATTGAAAACTCAGTTAACAGCGACAACCAAACAGTAAAGATGCAACAAAGAACAACATGACATTTTTGAATTTCCGGAATGCGGAAGAGAGATAACATCACGTATCGAGCTTTTCAGTCACAGAAAAGGTCATGAAAGAAAACGCCTTGCGTGACCATCTTCTGATGCGTGTCAAATACTCGTCAAGACATTATGTTTTTTAACTGAAAATTAAAAATAAATGAAAGTAAGTAAATGGTAAATATAAATATTCGTTATACCACCATTTTCCACTGTCTCACTCCATTTTTTCCTTGTACCATCTTTTCACTTATTTATAGCTGTAAATCGATCGTTTCTTTAAATCTCAAGAACAACTACTCACGTTGGCAACACGGCCATACCCATCCATTCCACACGACCGGTCTCGAAGAAAAGGGAATTTTAATAGACGTCAACGTTGAACACGAGAGGCATGTTGTGACGTGAGCCACACGCACACACAGACACACAAGTTACCGGCATGCGATGCGTACAGAACGACGCCGATGCCACATTGTCGCACTGGGAAATGATGGGTTGGTATTTAATTGGGAGAAAGTGCCACAAAGATACGGGAAAAGGGAAGACTGGCAGGGGGATGTAGTTAAGGGAGGCGAAATGAATTCGAAATAGATTATTCGGGGGGAACAAAGGGTGACGTGAAGCGATTGGGAAATGAGCGTTGCGTTTGGGAAGGGTTGTGTGGATATGTGTAAGAGATTGTAGCAATTATTACTTGGATTAAAGTGATGCGGAATAGATATGCTCTACTCAGGAGCAGTTCAGTTTCAAAGAACTAATTCGTTTAAAATGATTCGGGAAAATATTATCTGAAATTCATTTGCACATCGTCATAGCATCACAGATACACTATGATCAAAAGACTAGGTATATGTTGCCACTAAAACAGAAATATTTAATAAAAAATCGGTAATAAAACTTTTAAGTTAAAGGGTTTTATCTTATGTGCACTGAAAACTAGAAAATAATAATAACAATTAGGTATTTTGAACTTCTAGTTCAGAAATATTTTAGTACTAGGCAGAATAGCTTTTAGGCATATTAGACTAAAATAAAAACGTGTGGCCCCTCCGAAATCCTACCTATGGCAAAGCATATCTTTATACTTTGGTAGATCATGAGCTCGGCGTTCGCTGGTGAAGCCGCCACGGCTGGTTATTGATTGTCAAAATCTCCAGTTACGATTATAGTAAGTCGATGCAATCCACACTTAGTATAGAAGAAAGTATTACAGCAATAGTTAATGGGCCCCACGTTTTTATTTTAGTCTAATATGCCTAAAAGCTATTCTGCCTAGTACTAAAATATTTTTGAACTAGAAGTTCAAAATACCTAATTGTTATTATTATTTTCTAGTTTTCAGTGCACATAAGATAAAACCGTTTAACTTAAAAGTTTTTTTGCCGATTTTTTATTTTCTAGTTTTTAGTATTTTTATTTATTGTTTCCAAGTTGTTCCCACGAGTAATGGACATTTTAACGGTCGACCCCCCCAGAGGTCCAGTAGAAGGGCAAGGCTATAATATACAACAAGAGGCGCCCAATCTTGAGGGGAAAACGCTTGCGACATTACATTTTTAGCCACCCTAATGCCATACAGTCCTCAACACGTTTTAACCTATTACCTTAACTTGGGTGGTAAAGCTACCGCTAACTACGTAGGTACATCTAATCACCTATTTTTTTTATCTGTCCTTCTAACGTCACACAATCTTGGACACAACTGTTCTGGACACGACTACTCATGCCTTCACCTAATACGCCATTTTGTAACGACGTCCACCTTGGATTTTAAATTTTGTCATAATCACAGTATTCTACTAGTGTAGCCCTTTCATTTGATAGGATACATTAAAATACGCAACCAACCGTCCAATCAGATGAAAGAGGTACGTACCCTATCGTTGGGTATTGTGCAATCACGTGATGCTCATGTCGTATGACGGTTAAATCTTTGGTTAGAATTTTTGTTGTTGTTTTTACCTGTTTTTACAGTTTTTACTTTATTTTTCTATTTACATCAGATTTATATTTTGTAATTGCCTATCAGACAATACGTATTTAGAAAAATAATAAGAATTAGGATCGTGTTTTTTTTTAAATCCTGGATATTAATTGGAACCCTTGATAACATTACTGCTTTTGATATAAAAAGTGCATTTTTGATTATTTACTTGGGCTAGGATATTAAAATATCGGTTGGATTGTACGACATAAATAGATGTAGGTATGATTATTTATATATATGTATGTATTTATAAAGCTTACTATCTGATTTGCATTTTCAGTTTTTGATCAGATATTTCATTTTATTTGTGAAATGCCCACAAAAAAGCTTCCAATGATTCAACATCAGTGTGTTTGCTGCATAATGGATCATTCCTGCTGAATTTTTAGATCATTTGAAGACTACACGGAAAAAACCAGATAATATGTTACATTTTCATAGAAATTGATAGCGAGACAATTTTATAGGCAAGTGTTGCATTATTCGAGGCACCATCAAAGAAAGCAATAATAATATGCTTAGTCCCAGAGATATTACAGCTTAGTTATTTTGCCCTACAGGAGAAAAACCAGAGTAGTTCACTCGTAATTGCATTTTCTCGGCTCCAGTTAAAATGAACAAAGCTGGTTTTTCCTGTGGTCTTCATTTGAAATAACGTAAATAAATGTTTATACATATGTATGTGATGATTAAATTGGTGTTAAGGAATAAAAATGTTTTTCGATATTAATATATACCTATATATGTATATTTATTTTGAAATAAATTACACTTTTAACAGTTTAATGGAGTTTTTAAAGCCAGTTATAATATTTATATTTTAAAAACTTGAAATCATGTGGATGTAATCACGCATTAAACCACAGACTAACTTATATAAGTCAAAAAGTAGATTTTAGTGTTAACTTTATATAACTTGTAAGTAAAATAATAAATAAAACAAATATGAAAAAACCAACAATTCTAATGTATATATTAAAATACAGTACAATAATAGGTATCTGATACCCTCACTTAACGTAGAATAATATTCTACCCAACTCAATACTATGTCCAACATGAGTTTCAAATATATCGGGCCCTAATCGTTCCTGAAAATAATATTTTTTTACATTGTTATACCATATTCTAAACTATTTAATATTTCAGTCACTTAAAAAGTTAATTTGTATTGAATAATTGTCTACCATTAAAGCAAATTTGGACTAGTATTTTTAATGGGCATATTCTGTGTATGGATATAGGTACTTCCTCCAGATTTTGGGTTCAACCAATTTATTCTTAAAACCTGAAACATCTACGTATAAAAAATAGACAGGTTACTAATTATAATAAAATTTACCCTTAGAATTATACTTCTTTAACAAATAATTTCCATTGGTATACTTTTCCATGACAAGTAATCAACTTCCTAACATTTTTTAATTGATGTAATACTTCCTCATGATGCGAAAAGAAAATCTTTTCTTTAGCACACAAAGGACAAACGATATGTTGGCTTACTTTCAGATTAGTTACTTTTCCATAGATATCCTCATGTCAATTCAAAGACGATGAACATGAAAATGATCATCACATGAAACATCACAAACTAAAAACCTAATAAACAAGTTTATATCGAATATAGAAATAAATTTAGTGTTCTTACCTATTGTCGTCCAAATCCACGTTAATAGATAATTAATTTTTTGAATTTTTATCTTTTATTTTTAAATATATCTTTCGAACTACTGGTTTTAGTAATTATTAAATTAAACGAACTCTGTGAAACGAACTAAAAAGTCAAAAATAATAAACAATTCTCTTGTCAATTGTCAATTTTCTCCAGGCACCGAACATTATCGATAACGCACGATCTACGGCGATTACTCCTTTGATCTGATTGGACGGTTCAATGACGGTTGGTTGCGTATTTTAATGTATCCTTCATTTGATACCCATATTGAGGGGGTTGTGGAAAAATATGAAATCCGCCATTTTGTACCGGCGGCCATCTTAGATTTACAATGTTATTGATATTACTATATTGTATTGTCATCGGAACTAAAGATGTGTACCAAATTTCAGATCAATCTGACAACAGGAAGGTACTTAAATTTCAATTTCTAATTTTGACCCAAATAAATAAATACCATACGGGTCGAGCTAAATAAAACCGTTTAAAAATGTTTAAGTTTCTTTTTGTCTTTTTTTTACTAACGTATATGACATAAATTAGGATTGATTGTCGTATTCAACTGTTTTTGGTCACTTCCTGTTTCACCGGAAATGACTACAAATTATGATTTTTAAATGGCACAACCACATGTCAACTTTTGACATTTTTGCTTAAAAAATCGTATTTTATATTTCAATCTAGAGCACCATCTAAAGTTGTCATGGCAATTTTTGATTTTTAAATGACACCCTCGGTATATTTTTACTTTATTCGATAGAAAATGACACTTTGAATAGAATGCCTTTGATATTTTCGCTTACAAAAAAATCGTATTTTAAATTTCAATCTAGAGATTCATGGCTGTGTTAAAAACACTAATTTTTAATCAAGGAGCCTTGGAAAAATAAATTTGATCATCTAATGTTTTTCGTGTCTTGTCATAGCCGGTTAAAAGATAGCTAAATCTTATTTTTAATCCTATCTCAATTTTTTCAAATGGAACAAGGAGGGCTCATTAGCATATTTGGGAAAAGCATTTTTTACGAATAATTTGGTATTTGGTACTTCTAGTCAAATTTTCATTATGAACCGCAATATAGGATATGTCGTTCTATTCAAAGTGTCATTTTCTATGAAATAAAGTAAAAAAAATACAGAGACCTGAATACAATTTCCTGTATCACAATGTACCGTTTGTGTCCAGGAAGGGTTCATAGTTTCATAGATGTCGAATTTCGAAAGAAATCAGAACATGTATATTATTTCGTATATTTTTCATTTTATTGATTTTATGGAAAACACTGTTCATTAAAATGTTGTATCCTATGTTATAGGGCTTGTTTCTCTCTACAATTTCCTGTATCACAATGTACCGTTTGTGTCCAGGAAGGGTTCATAGTTTCATAGATGTCGAATTTCGAAAGAAATCATGTATATTATTTCGTATATTTTTCATTTTATTGATTTTATGGAAAGCACTGTTCAAGACGATTTAAAAATCAAAAGTTGTCGTTATTTCCGGCGAAACAAGAAGTGACCAAAAACAATTGAATACGTCAATCAATCCTAATTTATGTCATATACTAAATCTCATTTTTTTATTTAAAAAAAGTAAAAAAGTAATATTCTGTAATCTTGAAATACGTGTATGAATAAGATCCATAAATACCGTATAACGCAAAAAGTTCTTTGCTGAAAGGAAAAACATCCCTGTTAGGACTAACTTTCATTCCGCTTTCCTTCGCAGGACCTTCGAGTATTTGCTTTCATATTTACTTTTGTCCCTTGCCTCCTTGCGAGCAAATTGCAAAAGATACCCATCCATATTCAAAACTCAATTTTAGAATAACCGACAGGGCCGTAATACATATAATTTTTATGACATATCAGAAAATAAACTTTCAATTTTTAAAATGGCTTCTTTTCAATTATAAATATATTTTTAATTATTACAATTAATATATTGACATGCACTTGCAGTTTGCGATTGGACTTATCAGGATCGGATTGAGATTTCTCATTGCACAAAAAATTTAAAAGTGATTAACATAGAATATTTAAAGACAGCTAATTTTTGTAGATGATATTTTTAGGAATCTTTTATTTTGCAACTTTGGAGTGATAATTTTATAGCCCAAAAAGAGTCTTTTTGGGACGTGGTCTCGTGACAATATTTTTCTGATGTGCACCCTCAAAATATCGAAACACGTGCCGCTACTTTTTCCAGGTTTTGTCCAAATTAATGATATTTTCCTCAAAGTTGAATTTAGTTGAAGGTTCGGGTTCCTTCTTCTTCATACTCTATATTGAGCAGATTGCCTGTTCGTTCTTCGGAGCATGCCTATATTTTTAATCGATGGAAAGATTATCACTTTATCCATATCTCTTCTTCCCAGTTATCCCATGCTATCCTTACTATTCTTCCTTCGTCCATTTGGCTTATGTGTTCGTTCCATTCTCAATTTCTGCTTAATATCCGTTCATTAATGTTCTCCACCTTGCATGTTCGCGTTATATTGTCACTTTGTTCTCTATCTCAAACGCTCTACAAGTGATTTTACAAGTCGTACATTTTACAAGAGAGTTTTGTATATTCTTGACTTGACCTCGATTCCTATGTGGATGTTTCTCCACATGTTGTCTTTCAGACAACCAGCCACCCTAATTGCTTTTGCTGTTTGCTGTCTTACCTCAGTTTCGATATCATCATAACCGGAAGGTTCTATACCGAGATATTTAAATTTCATTTCTTGATTAATTATTTTGTTGTCCATAACAATCTTGCTTCTGATACGTATTTTTGATGTTATCAATCTCATTGTTTTGAAGGCAGATATTATCCTATTTAGAGATGTTGCCACAGTATACAGGGTTGTTCACCACATACGACACGGAGTATTGTAGCTAAATGATTAGATTTACACAAATTGTAAGTTTTGGGTTCGTTGAAGAACTATTAGAGCTACAATTTAAAAATATTTTTACAAGATACAGAGTGTCCCAAATAAATAAAAAATATCAAAGTTGTATTTTTTTAAATGGAACACCCTGTATATTATTACATTTTTAGTTTCTACGATTAAAATAAAGGTAAATTTGATTAAGGTTTATTATACTTAAACCTTACCGTTTTTGAAATATTTTCAGTTTTGTGAAATTGCAGTAAAAATTTTAAAGCTTCATTTCTCCAAGGGTATCATTGTTTTTAATACTAAATATTTAATGAAGTTTATTTATTGATCAGTTATTGTGTTGCAATAATAAAAATAATACTACCTTATACAGAGTGTCTAAAAATTTATTTTAAATAATTATTAGCTTCAAACGGCAATAACTTCTTTAATTTAAATGGAACACCCTGTATATTTTACGAGAATCAGATGCACAATTTAATTGTCTATCAAATTATATTATACCATTTTTTACCTATCTCTTTAAGTTTCCGTAGAAACTGCATTTTCTTGTAATTTAGAACTTATATATCAATATACCCATGGACTATTGACATTTTAGATTATTTTTAAAGATGTACCAAATTTTTAAAGAGTACAGATACTAATATTGTCGATATAATTCGTTTATTTTATTAAAAAATAAAAAAAACTGTTTAAATATTTGTTAAAGAGGATCAATTAATATGATTCCAGTATTCAAACTACATTAACTGACTGTTTGCGTTGATTAATAATAATAATTGCTCCAAATACTAAAAAACTGAATTTTGTATGGGCATTAGACAGTGTGATAAAAAGTAACACCTTAAAAATGATATTTCATTTTTTAATAAATGCTTATTTATAACAACAGAGACTTTAATTTGATAACTTATTATTATAGTGATTTCTGACTCCAATCCACATTTATTTATAATAATTTATTAACGAACACAATTAAGTATGTAATTAATTAGTATATGGGCGGAAATAATGGTGTTATATTTAATTAATGGTATACTCTTTGATAAAGATTTAAATAGTTTTCTTTTTGCATACAAATGGGCTAGTAATATTATCGTTTTGCTAAAAACGATAATATTACTAGTCTGTACATTTTGTACATTTGCTGCTTTAAAAACAATCTAAAATGTCAATATTCCATGGATATATTGATAAATGAAGTCTAAATTATAAGAAAATGCATTTTCTACGAAAACTTGAAGGGATAGATAAAAAATGGCATAATACAATTTGATAGACAATTTAATTGTGCATCTGATTCTCCTAAAATATACAGGGCATTCCGTTTAAATTAAAGAAGTTATTGCCGTTTGAAGCTAATAATTATTTAAAATAAATTTTTAGACACTCTGTATAAGGTAGTATTATTTTTATTATTGCAACACAATAACTGATCAATAAATAAACTTCATTAAATATTTAGTATTAAAAACAATGATACCCTTGGAGAAATGAAGCTTTAAAATTTTTACTGCAATTTCACAAAACTGAAAATATTTCAAAAACGGTAAGGTTTAAGTATAATAAACCTTAATCAAATTTACCTTTATTTTAATCGTAGAAACTAAAAATGTAATAATATACAGGGTGTTCCGTTTAAAAAAATACAACTTTGATATTTTTTATTTATTTGGGACACTCTGTATCTTGTAAAAATATGTTTAAATTGTAGCTCTAATAGTCCTTCAACGAACCCAAAACTTACAATTTGTAAAAATCTAGTCGTTTAGTTCCAATACTCCGTGTCGTATGTGGTGAACAACCCTGTATAGGGATATGAATTTCTTTGGAGGTGGTACTCATTTTTTGGCGATTAGGATAGCGTTGTCGGGAGAACACCGAATTAAACAGCGCACTTGTTTTATTATTTCATCCATGAAAATATTAAAAGAAGTAAGCTTAATGAATCTCCCTGCTGTAGTTTTTTTTTCTACAAGATTGGGTTTGTACTAAATAAACAGAAGTAGACTCAATATCAATAAATCGAGAGACATAGTAAAAGTCAAACAGCACGCGTAGCCTGTTAACCATTTTCGTGTATAGATACATCTTAAAAATTATTTTTATAAATCGTGTCTTGCTTAGTCCGATTCTGGCTTCCATCCCCCGTATAAGTCGC